TTCACTTTAGTCTTCAATCCAAATCTAAAAAGCACAGATCTCAGTCTTGTACACTTAGAAATAACAAGTATGACCTTAAAGTAAGCACCTTTAAAATAATGGTTAAATTTACCTCGTTTTTTTTTCAAGGCAATTGGTTTCCTCATATTGAAAAAAAAAGTGAGATCAGTTTGTCAGATTTGACACGGTGTATACAGTGTTTTGTATCACAGTTAAAGTTTGCACAGAAAAATGGCCCCTGTCATTAATCATTAGTCTCAATACTGATGCATGAATGCATAAAAACATTTTACTTTTGTAGCTGGTTGAGGTGGAGCTAGTTTTACATTATTTACTACAGGTACTTTAATCTTTATCAGTGATATATCTGAAAAATACTTGTAACGGTATCTGTCAGATAAATGTACTGGAGTATAAAATCAAAAAACTCAAGCAGTGTGTAACATTTTACTGCAGCACAGTACTTGATTAAATGTGCTAGTTATTGATTGTCCAATTTACAACACTTAAATAACACTCATTATATACTGTATATAGTTGTTTTAGTAAATTGTTGATACAAACAAATAGTTTAACCTTATTTTAGATTTTGTTTAGCTGAATACAACTCAGATGACTGATTCATGATTCATATTCCTTTGTGGCAATGATATGCCACTCTCTTCAAAATATGTGGATAAAATGTGTAAACTGGGTGACTATATGGAGGAGAATGCAACCATGAATTAATCATGAACATAACACATTAAATGTCAGCATCTCGAATCTAAGTTAACCTACGTGTCTCATAAGGAAGTCAACCATATAAAGCCATAAATAACATTGTGGCCTTTTGGCAGGCAAATATAATTAGCTGATGTTCATGTTTAAAATGCATTTCAGTGAGGAGGTGTGAATATCACTGCTGCAAATTACATATGACTCTTAAACATAGGTGATACAGGCAGAACCCAGCAGTCCTTTTAATGTGCTGCATGTAGTTTAATCACTATAGGATAATAGGATGGATTGTAATAATGTTGTCCATGCACATACAGAGATGGATACCAGTTTTAATTGTAATCTTATACTGTATTTCTAGGAAGTTACAGCAGCCTGGCAGCCTCTGCTGAAAATACTGTCAGGGGAATCCTGCCGCTCAACCGTGAAGACAGATGTTGGACGTACAAGATGTCAGATTCTCTTTACTGTTATATTTCTCCTAAACCCTATTAGGTCTCCTCAGGGGAGGTGTTCAGTCCCTTCAGAGAAAAACAGTCCAACAGGATAAAATAACAAAATGTCTCATATACTGCGTGGTTTTTCTCAGGTGTTCACTTGAGATTCATAAAAAACAAAGAGAGCTGCTCTTATCGAAAGAGAGAGAGAGAGAGAGAGGTGGATGTAGTGTGTGTGTGTGTGTTATCCTGACCTCCTGCTAGTGTTTCATGGGCCCATTTGACCACTGTAGGCTATCCTGTGCCCCCATTTATTGTGATTGTATGGAGTTATTGAGGAGTCGGACCTATTAGGCAGGGAGCTGCCATGGCTATCCGACTACCAATTACTGTAGCCTGCAGCCATGTATAGCCCGCCCTGACACATCTGGAGGTAGAGAGGGGTAAGGGATATACTGCGAGGGGAGGAGGGGAAGAAGGCAGGGGGGGGGGGGGGATCCTCAGGAGACCTGCCACAGCAGCACGCCGTTAATCAATCCGATTTAGACCGGACAGGGACACACTTAGTCGCTGCTCCCGCCAACACTGCCATGGCGGGGGAGAGAAAATGTGTGCGTGACCTGCATCTAATTAGAGTATAAGGACACAAAAAGATGGATAGATGGGTCCAGAATGAAGAGATAGCGATGGGGTAGCGAATGGGAGAGAGGAGATGGAAGGGGCGTGAGGTGTAGGGAGAGACAACAATTAATGGCGTGATGTGAGTTGAATTAAAACAAAGGAAATGTATCGATTAATTTCTGTCTCGAGGAGGGGGATGAAAATGTTCACCTTCACTACATTGAAGAAATGGTTGCATGGAGAAATAAATTGAGTTGAATTGATGAAATGGGTGGAAAAAAAACGTATCATTTGATGGAGGATGGGGAGAGACGGATAGTTTAGTCTTATTTGATTTGTGTAAGTGATGACAAGAGAGTCAGGGTAGCTTAATGACTGGTGGAGATGATGGAACAGTCAGAGCCGAAGACAAGGATGGAGTGAGGGCATCATATTTGCATTAATTAATATGTTTGTGGTTGTGTACTTGATTTTCCTCTATTAAATGGATCTTCTGCTTGAATAGTCGGTGACTTACCCAATGAAAAAAATTGGAATTTAACAGAAACCCCTAAATAATGAAAACGGCTGCCCTATTCGCCATAAAAACGGCTCTTTATCCACGATGAAATGAAGAAAAGACAATTCTTTGATTTCGAAACACATGAAATTACATTTAGCAAATGTGTGGGTTGTTGCAGGTGTATGACTTCATGCAGGTCATAATGAAACCTCTCCTCAATAGCAACACGTAGAGAAGCATTATGATCTTGGAATATGCAGTCATAGTTAGATCTGTGTTCAGCGGTTTCACATTCATGTTAACTGCTATGTAAACATGTACAGTAATCGTCAGATGTAACGACTTCCACTCAAATGGCTGCTCGTATCCATTACAGACCCAGCATCATGTTTAATCAGACATCCACACACATAAACCTGTCTAGATGATAAAAGAGTCTCCAGACCGGATTACTTTTTAAACATTGTGTCAGGCTCCAGGTTCTGTTGTCTTCACACCAGCTAATGCATCTTTAGCGGGTTGGTTTTGACTATCAGCAATTTCTGGATGGCAGACATTAATGCCGGTTTTATGAAGCTCATAATGACAAGCTCTTGTTGTAACTGTGTTATAGGGCTGTTGATTACATTGTTTGGTAATTTCGAGGCTGTGGTGTTGTCCAACTGTCTTTGTCCTTGTCCATGCATTTTGTCCATGTTTAGCATGTACAGCATTAAATATTCCAGTTTCCTTGTGTTTCTTTGGTGACTTTTGTAAACCTATATTATAATATATGTTTGTAACCTGTTTGACAAATAAGGTGCTAATTAGAATTTAACACCAACATTATTTTCGGACACAAACAGGAATGAATGCTAATGTTGCTCCGTATACTGGATGTGTGTGAAATAGGCAACTGTTTGCTATCAAGTTAAGCGCACCAACTTAAAAGGTGAAAATATGCCACCCTTGCAAAGCTGAATATCTGTGACATAATATTAGCTAATGGCATTGATTACCAATTGTTGTAGTTCAGCTGCAACAAACCAATGTCCGTATATCAGCAGCAGCCAGTATGTGTGTGTCTGCACGTTCATCGCGTTCGCTGTAATTGCTCGACAATTGAACTGGTCCTCCCTGATGCAATCCTTGCAATCCCTCTCAGCCTCTTCTCTGCAACAGGTGGATCAGGTGTGAGAGCAACAATCCTCTGGAAAAATTGATAGCGGCTAAGAAAGGATGTGCTCTCAGATGGGAGGTTTTAGGTCAAAGATCACTGCACATCTCATCTATCTACCCAGTGGACAGGAAAGCATCTGTACTGATGACATTACACCAAGATCACAGAATGAAACAGGAAATAAAATGGCACAGGTTACATCCAGATAACGTGAGCAGACTGGTTTAGGGTGAGATACTGTGATAAGATATATAAACCCAATAAATCATCCGCCTATAACAACGACAAAAAACATTGGATTGTCAGTTTCGATTAGAATTATACGTATTAACCAATCTAGATTAGATCACTGGATTACATAATATAAGACAGTCATATTTCTGCTATGACTTTTCCCTCAACCCAGTAATTAGATGGTTGTGGTGAATATTCCTCCATTGCAGGTGATGATTAGTGTTTTGGGGCTACAAGAGAGGACCAACAGTTCAAATAAGAGCAGAGAGGCTTGTGGGAGCAGAGGCTTGTAGAGGCGCATGGATGAGACTAAATAAAGTGGTTTCCCCCAGTGAAAGATTGGCAACTAATCAGTGAAAATCGTTCATCTTAAACATATTGTAATGGACGTACATATACATGAAAGCAATCAGAAGAAAATGTTGTTTTCTTGAATTTATGCATTTGATTGTAGTTCTTATTATTAAGTCAATGAACTTTATTGACATAAATGTTCTAAAGCAATGTTAAAGTAAAGAAGAATACATAAAATAGGAAATGCCTCAACAGTGTTTATAAAGTGTGTATATGTAGTGGGCATGCTGTGTTATTTTTCCTTGAATAGTCATTAAAAAAACACCTTTTTTTAGTTGAGTGAAATGGCTCAGTAACAATTTAGTGATGAAGTTAAAAAATGCTGGTCCAAGCATCAGCATCTTAGCAAAAAAGTACCATATTTGTGTCAGATATCTATAATGAGAGTGGCAGGTGTTCAGTTTGAGCCACTTTTCAGAGCGTTTCTTAAAATACATTGTTTAATAAAAATTATATCACCACCCCAAATTTAAAATTCTAAACACTACATTCCTCCTCTGTCCAACTTTAAAATATGTAAAATATGCAGAGGTTCTAACTGGAATTGCTCTTCAAAAAGCTCTTCAGCATAAAACAATCACATAATGTCAGTGGAGAGTTACCATTTCCCATCAAGCTCAGTATTGTATTGTAGTTTTTCACCCTACTAAAACTAAAACTCAGGTAGAAGCATCAAGTCTTTTTCTTATGTGGTTTGAAAATACTTAGATTTGAAAGATATTTAATATACGCACAACATATGTAGTACGGTTTACGGGTTAAAATGCCATCTGAGTTGCAGCATCTCCAGGGACCTTTGCTACAACAATCCCTCCCTAATCTCTTCAACAAAGGCTAAAAATGCCCAAGATATATAAATATAGCAGAACATGTTAACTATAAGAACCTTCAACAAAGACCACAAAACACTTCCTTGATGGTATTTCCTTATTTCTTTCCATCTATCAACATCTCTTTTTGGTCCCTGTTTCAGGTGAGGGCCAGTGCAATCGCTCAAGATGCAGATCAGAACTACGACTATGCCTCCAACAGTGTCATCCTGCACCTGGATGTCGGGGACGAAGTGTGCATACAGCTCGACGGGGGGAAAGTCCACGGCGGAAACACCAACAAATACAGCACCTTCTCTGGCTTCCTCATATACCCTGACTGACAGTATACTCACATTTATATATTCTCTCTCTGTAATCAAGCAAAAAGTTTCCTCTCCTTTCTTCATCTAACACCACCATGCCTCCTTAATGTCATTTGTCATTTCAATACCGTTCAGTACACAAACATGTAATTACACGATCACAGTTAACAAATAGAGAAATTGTGTAAAAATGAATAAAGTATTGTAAATATTACCAGTTAACATTTACTTCTGACACACTAGTGTAATCATTATTCTGTGCCATGTACAATGTGTGTAAGCGTGACAAAAAAAACATGCATACATTGGCTCCACACAAAGGCGAGCTCACATGAATTGAACTTCTCCTATCAGTTGTTACACTGACACAAGATGACCATTTCAGCCACCGGTCTGAAATCGACTGAAATGATCTCTGAATGTAGACTGTAAATCAAAGTGTGTGTACTTGGCTACAGCCTCTCGCCTTCACTGTGAGATGGATTTCCAAATGAGAAAAGTCATGAATATATTGATCGTAGCTGATAATACAGCCAACACCATCAACATAAAGCGTGTTGTATGTTTGTGTTGATGGCCGTGTGCGAGCGTACGTGTGTGTTTACCCTTCTGCTTGTGTTAAAGCATGAAAGCATCACGTTGCTGTTAGTTTCACTTGCACATTCTGCAGCTCCTGTTAAGGGAGGGGGTGTCAAGTTGTTGGTAACAGTCCCTTAACACACACGGTATATCGATACTGAGGTTTAGCTTTGAGATTTTCCCTGAGCCAGAGCTCACGGCAGAGCCTCATCATGTCCCGCTAATGAGCTGAGGCTTCCTCTGCAGCCTGTTCAGTCAGTCTAACATCTGGCATCCATAGTTTGCTGGACACGCTTGTTTGCTTTTTTGCAGAGAGTTGGATGAGAAAATTGAAATTCTCTGATATCCGTCTGTTCCCTATAACGTTACGGCCAACAGCTGCTTAGCTTATAGCATAAGGGCAGGGCAGGGTTATACCAGAAAAGGAGTTGTACGGTGTGTTGTCCGACCACACTGGAAATTAAAAGTGTTTATATCAATCAACAGAATGGTCACACTGGAAGGCCGAGTGTGTGTGTGTGACGATACGGAGAGGTGACTGTTCGTTCTAAACAACAATGGCGGCTCCTGAACTGGTTAGCGTAGATGCTGCAATAGCATCAGATTTATCAAAACTGGAGAGTATTTCTTCATTGAAAGAAGAGCAAAGAATGGCTTTGGCGGCCTTTCTCGAGTTTCTCGTTTTCGCTCTTCTGCCAACTCGCTTTGAAAAGAGTTTGATTGACAGATGGTTGGTCCAATCACCTGCCACGTATTTTTTTGAAGGTGCCTGCCCTTTTTTTTTTTACAGTTTCCAACAATGGCTTCTCAGATGGTTCTGTGTAAAAAAACATATAGCGGGTCGAATATGTTGTCGTATGGACAGAGCAAGGCTACAGCAGGTGTATCCCCGTTTCCAGTCTTTGTGCTAAGCTAAGCTAACTGGCTGCTGGCTGGAGCTTCATATTCAATGAACAGATAAGAGAGTGGTATTGATTTTTTTTTTTTATCTAACTCTCTGCGTGACAACAAATAAGCGTATCTCACAAAGTGTCAAACTTTTCCTTTCATTTTACTGTGAATATACCCGTGTGAAGATGTTTTTCAAATGCAGGTGACTGTTGTTGTAGGTTTTCTGTGCCTTACACTATCTTTTTCATTTTTATGCATGAGGTACTTGTTGAATCCAGGCGATACGAACAAGCTGATACAAACAGCAATCTGACGATCATTTAAAAAAATACAGATGCTACCTTAGGACGTTCATCTTTGTATGTAACTGAATGTAACTCTGCTGTGAATAAAACAAAACAAAATGGAGACCAGGGTTCATTCGGTATGGTGGGAAACATGAGGGAACGAACAACAGAAGCATGTAACTGTGCGGTTCAAACGTTGCATCCAGAATAAATTATAAATATGTTGATGTAACCAAATTACTATATTAAACAATTCTATTTTTTTCATGATATAATGCTTAGACGAGTACAATATAATACTCCTTTGAGCACATCTGTTGTAGTTTTAGTGCCATGGAAAAAGAGTTTCATATTGGCCCAACAAGTGACACAGATCCAACTTTGCAGCCTGATAGCATGACTGTACCCCGATGAGATTTGGATGTAAACTTTTCTGATCATTCTTGTACTGTGATTGAAAAGCCCTCTCGACGTTGTGTAGTACACAAACATTCCTCCTTTTCATAACCTCTGTGTCATGCTGCATCTTACTGTGTGTGTTACCTTCGTTCACGAGCAGTGTGGATTCACTGTTGTCACTGTACTTTGCAAGCTGAGTTGTGTGTATTTGTTATGTATAAAATCAGTATTTCCTCTGCCCTTGAAGACCATGAAACACAATAAAATGAAAAGAGAATTCAGGATTATTAAAACCACTGCTTTCTTTATTCTTTGTTCTCTTCAAGAACTCAGCAGCTGGCATGTTGTGATAAGTTCTCACTGCTCAGGGTGTTTATTTTTTATTGCAAAGATTTCAAGATTTTATCAGCATTTGTCAAATTTATCTGAGGTTCAAATATGAAAACAGCTGACAAATATATTACAGTATTTCCAACAAGAGCCGACAATAAACCTACCTGCCATGTCTTTTTTTCCTCCATTGATAAAGAATAATATGGTAAACTATCTGACTTTGTGGACATTATTTCTTAATTGTTGTTATTTTTAATAAGGTTTGTGCTCATTGTTTACTTTTTTATGTCAAACTGAGTGCTAGAATTACATACATAAGGTAAAAACATACACTTCATGTGCTTCAGATACATGATTCAAATATAATGTTCTAAATATAATTTAGTATATTTTGTGGGCAGCTAAACTTATACATATATCGATGTACAGTATAAATGTCAGTAAACCCAGAAAATGAAGATGTACGATGTCTAACAACTTCTGGCATTGATACGAATACAGACATTTTTGTCAAATACGAAGGTAGAAAGCATTTTTTTTGCACTAATTAGTCAATAATTAAAGATCTGGTGGAGTTGAGAGAGTCTGTGAAGTTCTACAGATGCCCTCAAAAGTGTTGACAGTACAGTTTTACTAACTTGAGTACAGTCTCAGACACATAAAGCTTAGCACTCGGGGCCATAACATATTTCGGGAAAACGTGACTTCGTCCTTTTGACACTTTGTGTGTTGGATCTGATGGAGCTCGCTTTAGAGAAGTGGCTGCCATATAAACATTGACACCACCTCTCTGTTTCAGGTGTTACGGCTGCATTTGCTCCCTGTGCTGTTGTCCCTTTTTAGCTCTGCAGAGGTGTGCTGCATTGTTCAACGAGCTCAACTTATCCTCATACAAATGTTCATATGCACCTGGACTAAGAATGAAGGAAGTGCTTAAAAGCTCCTGGTCCAGCAGCAGAAGGGAGAGGCCTCTGGCGTGGGGACTTCTGGTCTTGCTGCCTCTAAATCTAGGATTTTGAATTGTCTTGTTTGTATATTTTCATGCCAATAAATCAAATGGATCTGATTGTTTTAAAGGTGTCTTCTGCGGTTTAGTTGGGTCCGTGGTGGAGTTTTGTTCACCCCAAAGGGCTGCCCAAGGGTGGGGTGTAACACAGGTTTATTATCAGTTTTGTAAAATACAGCAACGCCTTTATTAGCGAGTCCACAATTAAAGGTTTGGTTTTCTGAATTGTAGCTTCGAGAAGGGTTGAAGACAAACACTAATTGGACAAATTCTTATTGCAGTATCTGCGTTCAGACAGAATTACAGCGGCAGCAGCTTGTTTTAAGGTAGCTTTCCCATTAAAATACTTGCTTTTTCACCTGCTGCTGCTTCTACCCTCTGCAAGGCCACCCAGGGAAAATGAAACACTGCCTGAATGGAGTTCTCACCTCACCAGAATAAAACAAGCAGATGGATCTTTAATTAAAGGTGAGACGCAGTACTATTCTGGAGCAGGAAGTACCTGCTGGTGCAAATGAGAGGTTGGGAGATGTCGGACTGGGGGTGTTGGTTGGGTTGTGTCTCAGCAGTGTGCCCAGCCCCCACCCCACCACCACTACCACCACCCCTGCCCTCTGAGTCCCACTGCTCCCTCCTCGCAGATTCCAGCGTTAAGTTAATTGGACAGGGAGAGAGGGCTGAGGAGGGAAGCGTTCAGCCCCATTAGCAATCCCTCTGTGGAAGGCTGAGCCGAGAGGATCACAGACTCACAAATAGGAGGATTAAAATAATCAATAGGCTTCACTCTCTCTCCTTCAGCGCAGACGGGTGCACCACACACACACACACACACACACACACACACATACATAGACGCACACACACTCACTTACACGCTCAGACACTCACACACAGCAAATACAAACACACAGATTGCCTGAGGAATACCAGTTCAAGAAGCACTACTCTCTTCAATGTTGTCTCTGGACTTTCACAAATTAGCCTGGGTCATGTAAGATTCACACACACACACACACGCACACACACACACACACACACACACACACACACACACACACCTATTCTCTGTTAATGAAGGTTAATTTGAGCCTCTGACTAACTGAGAACCAGTAAAAAGGTCAAAGACATGAAAGCAGTCCGTTGGTTTATATATTTTTTTCCATTCTTTTCTGATCTCTCATGTCTGCTGAATTCTTTTGCTGGATTAACTCATTATGAGGCTACATGGATAACAGAAACTTCGTATGATATTATATGACTACAGGCTCGGGACTGCTTGCATTTAGGTATTTTTTGTCATATATGTTAATATACTTAATTAATATTCTCAATGGGAGCTTTTTTGCTTATAGGATGCATTTAGGATTATACTTATTTGTTTGTGTAGATTAATATAATATCAAGTCTGTGATAGAGCACGCATTAGTGGCTCTCACTCCCTTTATCCGTGCAGATATTGGAAATTACTGTGTTTTAATATGAATGTATACATTTTTTTACAAAGGTATCTTTTAAATAAAATTTTAGATACAAGTGAAAAAAAGTTAAATACATATTTTGTGTAGCAGAATGATTCATTTTTAGTCTTGCTCATCCTGTTAATCATTTCCCTAAAGACAAAGGGAGATATGGAACAAATGCCACACCGTGACTCTCCTCAATTAATCAAAGTAAAATAAATTGGATCAAAATAATTAAATGCATTAATAATAATAAAGAGATAAATAAAATAAGTAGCAAGACACAGAGGATTTGAATAACTGTGAAAATGGTAAAATCAACTTAATAACACTTTCATAGATCAGGTCTCATACAATGTAAATAATGAATTGATAGACGGCCTAGTGGACAGCATACCTCAATCACATCAATACAAATCAAACAGATTATTAAAAACATATTTTTTTGTAAATACAATGTGTGCATTCACTGCCACTGAATCACAACCTGGTCCTTTAAAACTTTTGTATTATTTCGGTCTTATTTCAATAGCGCAGAATGTATGTTTTCTTTCTTTCTTTTTATTCAAGATTTACATGCTTTACTGGGTCATTTATATGTTGCAGTCTATTCGAGCAAGTTACAACTAATCAACCATCACTCTCAGCGAGGAAGCATAAAGTTACTTGTCGTCATACTCGTCATGCTTCATACTCAAAATAGACGCACTTCTTTCGGTTGCCACTTACAGTATCCACTAGTGCCGTGAGGTGCATCCAACTACCTGTTGATTCTGTAAATTGTTTCATTTTTTCAAATGTGTACAGACGGAGCGAGATCTAACGATGTGTTAAATTATATGGATTATAGGCTTTTGTATTTCATTTTTATGAGTTTTAAAATAAGTGTAAACTTATCGGGCCTATATGCAGATTATAGTGATAGAGGGCACACAAAAATATCCTTATTATTTAATACATAGACCACAGACTTTTCATCTCTTTCAAAATACCATTTTATTATGAGGATTTTTCACAAAATCACTTTTATCAGATAGGATTTATTATACTGCCCACCAGCAGTTAGAATTATGTCCACCTCCAAAATGTAAGTACTGCTTACATGTTAATAATAATGATGATCCAACAATATGGTAATATCATACTGACAGGAGCCATTCTGCAAGATGAGTAGCCTGCTTTATACTTACATTTCGTCACTTTTTCTTTGAAAGCAGGACTTTAACTAGTAGTGTAGTATTTTTACAATGAGGTTTTTAATTCTTCTCCACCATGGTGGAGCATGAAGAAGTATTATATTTATCTTTCCCTACATGAGTGCGCAACCTGCTGTACATTGGTTGTTATTACGCTCGCCATCAGTTGTAGTACCAGACGTTGGCCGTTGGGCGGCAGGCGACGTTGACTAGTAGTCTGCAGTCAAAGATGGCGGTGCGGAAGAAAGACGGCGGCCCGAATGTAAAATATTTCGAAGCGTCTGATACCGTTTCTCAGTTTGATAATGTCCGCGTCTGGCTGGGAAAGAATTACAAAAAGGTACTGACCGCATGTTTTTGTATCCGTGCACGTGGAGCTGTGATTTTTTCCCCCTAAAATGCGGGTACTTACCTATTGGGCAGAGGCAGTGACAAAGAGAGGAGGGAGGGTGCTGCTGAGCGTCCAGCTGTTTGATTCACTCGAGCCTGGATACAAAAGGATGCTGAGCCAACAGCTGCAACAGATGCAGCCGCTAAAAGCGGCATCCCGATACGTTATTGTAGCTCATCCGATGCAAAAGCAGCACACAATCAGTCCGCATGATGATAGTATGCAAAAGAGGTGACTTTAGCCGGCCAAGCCGCTAGCTAGCTAGTTAGCTAATCGGCTAACGGTAATGCAGCCCAGATCCAGATGTTGGCTGTGTGGCGCGCGCTGACTGAAGCCATGGCCTGTCTGGAATACAATAGACACATTGATTTAACCAAATAACTGCATCATTTCTTTAGGAGCTCGACAACAATAATGATGAAATAAACTATATTTACCATTTAATTCCCATATCACATGTTACATAACATGATTAATAAAGAAGATGCTCCCTCCACTTTTTGACATAACTGAGCCATCAGCAACTATCAGCACACTGTAGTTAACTGTTATCTGTCCTCCATGTGGCTCAGCACTGATTGCCTCTCTGTGTTGATGTCCTCTCAGTACATCCAGGCCGAGCCCCCCACCAACAAGTCTCTGTCCAGTCTGGTGGTCCAGCTGCTCCAGTTCCAGGAGGAGGTGTTCGGTCGACATGTCAGCAACCCTCCGCTCACCAAGCTGACAGTATGTCTCCTTTATCTGTCATTCACGCACGCACACACACACACACACACACACACGACTTTACCCCACTGAGGTATTTTAAACTGTTTTGCGTCTGCAGATGAAGTGTTTTCTGGACTTCAAGTCAGGAGGGGCTCTCTGCCACATCCTGGCTTCTGCCTACAAGTTCAAGAGTGACCAGGGATGGTAAGACTTTCTTTTTAGCTGGAATAAATGTTTACTAAACAAACAAACTGAAAATATATTGTGCTACGTGAGTGCGTTTCGTGTGTAACTCCAGTCTAATTTCCTGGTAGGCGCAGGTTTGACTTCCAGAATCCGTCGAGGATGGACCGAAATGTGGAGATGTTCATGACCATTGAGAAGTCTTTAGTGCAAGTGAGTTTGCCACCGAGCTTTTCTCTATGTATGTTTGTAACGCACATTACCTGGAC